CATCACCCACTACAGAGGGAACTTCAGTCTGGGTTCCTTGTTGGGGGCAGAGCCATCACTGCATTAACCAGCAGCTTTTGGAGAAGGCACAGCTAAGACAGCAAAGTTCAGTGGCTGCAGGTGAAAAGGGCAAGAGCGTTTGCAGATGACAAAAGATCACACGGGGATGTTGGCTCACAAAAGGGGAAGAGGGAGAGGAGACTCAGTGGAAAGATGTGGGGAACATACAAAAACAATCAGTTCCTCTTTCTACCATATCCCTCAAGTATAGCACAGAAATTAAAGGGCAGCATTAAATGTGGAACAGATTAAAAGAAGCTGATTTAAAGTATTTTATTTACTAGTTCAGAAAATATAGGCATAGCTCAGCAAGCCAGAGGTGAGGAGAGCCACAAAGCCCAGGAGACAATATGAGTGACAGTGAGGCACCATGTTTTCCAGCAGTGGCTTTGCAGGGGGAATAAATCCAGCTTTGTGTTTCCTTTTGAGAGAGGGGGAAACCTTTAGCCCCTGATGGAAACCGGGGGCAGCTGGGATGTGTGCAGCCCCCACGATGTCCCCACAGGCTGGTCTGGCACAGGACTCTCCCTCCTTACCCTCCTGTCCCTGGAATGAGAAAGGGGCTGGGCAGTCCTGGCATGTGCTGGGAAAGGGGGACACCCCCCTTCAACATCTAAGATCAGGACAGGGAGCCTCCATCCAGCCAAACACCTCAGTTTGGCAGCTCCTCCACCCCCCCCAGGAGACAAAACGCTCTGTCCTCCCCCGTCCCTCTCGCTCCGCTGGCTCCGGGCTGGCTGAGCCCCGAGGAGAGGGGTGGCCCGCACAGCCCCGGGCCTCTCCGAGGGACACGCTGTTTCTTCCATCCAGGGATTTTTTCCCATCAGCTGACACAGTCAGGATCACACGGGCAGTGAGGTCTGGAACAACGCGTTATTTCAGGATGCCTGGACATGTGTGTTAGGAACGTCTGCTGAGGCGCCTGCTCACCCGAGCGAGTTCTTGTTCCCTGGGTACTTCTTATCCCCACGGCCCAGCCCTCCCTCCCCATTTCCACCCCTCTGGGGAAGCTCCCGTGTGCTGGAGCAGCCCTGGCAGAGATGGAGATCTCTGCATCCTGCCGGGAGCTGCGGGTGGGGGTGGCAGCCCGATGCTCTTGGATCTCCCCGGGAGCGGCACAGCCTGCGGGAAGGGCAGCAGGGAACATTTGGGATTGTGACAGAGATTTTTGGCCCCCAGGGGTTTTCAGGACAGATCCTCTCTGGTGGTTTTGATGATGGTGAGGGACCAGTAGCAGGGAGGATGGGCTGGGGATCAGTTCCTCCGGAGAACACCAGGGTTGTTTGGGGCCAGGGCAGAGCTGTTGCTCAGGGGGCAGTGGCTGCCTCTGGGCATCACATGGGACCCGTTGGATAATCCCCAGTTCTGCAGTCCTGGGAGAAGGGAGCCCCTGATCCCACATTTGAGGAGGGACAGAGCTGGCCCCAAAGTGTTGGTGTGCCCGGGGCAGGGAGGTTCTGCAGAACCCTGCCCAGAAATGCAGAACTTTCCCATTCTCTCTCTTCCCTGTGCTCCCAGCGCAGCTCTCCTGCCTGGAGCGGGATGTTCATCATGTGCCTTGCACCAGCCCTGGCAAGTGGCTTTTCACATGGATTCACATCCCTGGATTTCACATCCCTGTGCTTCTGAAAACTGCCCAGGCTGGAGCCCCATGGAGCCTGGGAAGGAAAAGGACCTTGGGCAGCCATCTCACAGGCTCCTGTAACCTCTGCCATTCTCCTCGTCAGTAGGGTGCAGATTAAACATTAAACCCTTAAAAACATCCTGTGCCTCAGAAAAGCAGTGGGAAGGCAGGGCAGGAGTGAGTGTGTGATGCCATGAGCCCGTACCCTTGTGGTGTGTACAAGGAAACAGGATCCAGCCCCTGCAGGAAGGTTCTGGCTGCACGGGAGACAGAGCATGGCAAAGGTCAGGAGACACAAGTCAGGCCAAAGGCTTCTGCCTGGAGCTTGTCTGTGCTGGTTTACAGGACAAGTGCCTGCCCTTCCACTTCCTTTGGGCAGCCCTGGACTCTCCTCTTTGCAAACAGCTCTTGGGACAGCACCAGTTGGGGGTTGCTCTGACCCAGGGAATGGGCTGCAGGGAACATCTGCTCCCGCCAGCCCAAGGAGCAGCACATCTCCCTCCTAAATGTGGGCTAGAAGTGCTCCCCAGGAGGCCAGTCCTAGCTGGAGGCAGCTCCAACACTGTCAGAGGGCTGAGCACAAGGCAGGCAGCTGGTCTGGAAAGGGAGGTGCTCCCACTCTTCCTTGGAAAGCCCTGGCTTGCCCCTACCCCCACCCCCAGGGCCCTGTCGAACACATTAATCCGATTTCCTCAGCCAGTCAGTTGCTCCTCCTGTGGTTTCTGCTTCTGCAATCTCAAAAATCTGTTAATGACTCTGTTATTGCTCATTAGGGAAGGACACTGTCCCGAGGAGACCCTCCCCCTCAGGAATCCTGGGAGATTCCTGCAGTCCTCAGAGCTGAACTGTTCTGAGTTCAGTTTAGGAGTGGGAGTCAACCCCAGGGGCACAACCCACGGGGGGCTGCAAGGAAATGCTTTGCCCCACAAGAGAACACGTAAGATCTGTGGCTGATGTTCCCGGAGGGCAAGAAAAGCCTAATGAACCCAAGAGAGAGGTTATGGCTGCTGTTGAGGAAAAGAGCATCCATGAGTATTTCTATGAGTTGTGGAACTGCTGAAATCCATTTTCCTCTGGCTTTGTCTCGAGGGTGGGTAACTGGGGGGGCTCTGCTCCCCAGCAGGGTCCCAGCCTTGCCACAGCCCTTCCCTGTGGGACAAGTTGTTGCTCTGCAGGATTCAGAGAGCAGACAACCTGATTAACTTGTTGTCTTTACTGGGCTTGAGTTCAGAGCCTTGTGAAGCTGAGTGTGCCAAGCATGGGGTGTGCTCGGATCCCTGCAGCAGGGAAGGGATGCAAAAGCCCAAGTGCAGGGAAAGGGACTGGCTCCCTGCAGCCCAAGAGCTTCCCAGAGTAAGAGGGAAAAAATGGGTCTTCATATGGACCCAGAGGGATTTAGGGCAGCAGGATTCATTCCACAGCATGAGGATGAATGTTTAAGGAAGAGGATGGACTGTGTCCCAGCAGGAGAGTGCTGGCTGCAGCCAGCTGGGCCTGCTGAGCTGGTGGGGCCAACACTGGGGCTGCTCTGAACGATCAGGGCTCACAGCTGGGCACTCCCAGCTCAGAGGATCCAGCACCACCCAGGCCGGGAGGATGAGGTACTGATCACTGGCTCGCTGGGTTTCCAGAGCTGCTTCCTCCTCCTGCTCCTGGCTGGAGGGATCAGAAACCTTCCAGTCAGTGGCAGGTGCAGGGCAGTTGTCTGGAGGACAACTTAACCTCAGAGAGGGAGGTGACTCACATTGCAAGCCATGACCTGAAGCTGTGTCAGCAATGGGAGCCACGTCCCCACGTTCAGGGCGTTCAACAGTCCTGGTGCCTTATCCACACTCGCCCGAGAGCAGCCAGCAGCAGGACAGCAAAGCAGGAGTGGAACACGCTCAGATCTCCCCCAGCTGAAGTCTGGATCCAGCTGTGAGCAGCTGTTTGTGTGGCCTGAAATCAGAGCCAGCAGCAGCCCCTGGCACCCCAGCACTGACGAGGAGCGGGGCCACCACCCTCCAGCGCTCAGGCTCCGCAGCCCAAAGGAGTGCTTGGGAAGGGCAGGTCTGGTAACACCCAACAGGGGGCCTGAAAAGGCAGGAAACCCTTTAAGTTTGCTGCCAGAGGCAATGTGGTGCCACCAGCTGGCTATAAAATATCTCCCAAGGAAAGCGGTAACTGTGAGACATTGACAGAAAAGTTTGCACAGAAAATCCAGGAAAAAAGGCACAACTAGCAACCATCAGGCTCTTCTCACACTGCAGCACCTCGGTGAGACAGAGCACAGCCTTCCTTTCCCACGAGCTCAGGCTCCTGCAGCTGCTCCCAGCGCTGTGAGACATCACTCACCTTCTCACCATCCTCCAGGCAGGACAGAGCTCCCACTGCCTGATGGTTGAGGTCCCTGTGAGGTGCCAAACCAGCCACCTGCACTGCTCAGCTCCTCACACCCCTGAGTTACACCTTCCTGCTACTAAGCATCTTCATTATTTAGGCCCTTAAGGGAGTAGCAAAATTGTGATTTATGGTGTTTAAGGCTAAGGTCACTTTTGGAATCCATGTGAACACTCTATTCACATTTTTCCCTGCTCCTGTCTCTTTTGACAAAGAAGGACAGTCTGATAGTGTATACTAAATTCTGGGACTTCTGGCTTTCCAGAATGGATTTACTGGGGATGGAGGGAGAGGAACAGGCTGAGAGGAACCTCTAGTGGCTGCAGGCTTTCTGTGCAGCAAATCCTCCTGGAGGTGCAGAGCGGGCTTGAGAATCCTCTGGGAATTTTCTGCCAGCTCAGCAATCCCTCTTTTCCTCACTGCATTGTCTTCAGTCACAGCTCTGCTATTGAACACCCACATAAGGCAGCATGGGAAGCCCAGAGTTGTGTATGAGGTGAATATGGTAAGGGTTTGTTTTTGGAAAAGGGAGTTTTGTTTAAACCCCCAAATTTAGTGTAATTCCACTTTTAAAATTTACATCCTTGGCCACTGTGTTGTGTGGTCACAACTTAGTGGTGACTTACTGGTGGACAGAGGAACCTCTAAGATGCATTTTAAAGCCAGGCTGGGCTGGGACAAACACTCCTGGGCCCTGCAAAGGGAAGAAGGCTCATGTCAGAATTGACCACTCAAGAGGTTATTTACAGTCAGTTTGGTACCTGGTCTCAGTGGAAGTCTTGTGAGAGATCTGGAACCATCAGGAACCATGTGACCACCTCACCACAGTGCAGTCCTGCCTGAGAACACACACTCCAGGTCTCTGTTTCAGACTGCCTTTTGCTTCGAGCTTGACAGGAAGGACAAGACCCGAAGGAAGGATGAGGTCAGCAGCCCCCACAGTCAAACACCTTTAATATAATCCAAGATTCTGCACAGGGACAAATGGACCATTGACACAGGGCAGCGATTCCAGAGGAGGGTAGAAAACCAAACCAGCAGCACACCACCACTCATCTGAGAGAACATCACCCCAAACAGTGCATACACTCAACAGGACCATGAATAGTCTGAAATTCAGGACAGAGAGCTGGCACAAAGGCGTCTCCAGAGCCCACACCTCGGGTGTCACTCAGCAGAGCTGCAGCTCAGCTCTTTGTCCCTCTGGCTGTGGCACTGGTGCCCCTGTGCTCAGGAGGACATCATTCCCCACCAAAAATGAGGATGGATTTCCAAGGAGAAAGTACACAAATTCAATGCACACACACAAATAGCAGTTGAAGGATCTGCATGTGCCACCCCTCCATGGGTAACCACAGACCTCTGTTGGCATGGTTTAACTCTTTAAAGAACAGTACTGGCCCCCCTCCATTTTCACTTCTGATGTCACCAGAGAGGAAATGGGAATTTTTCCCATCTCTCTATTAACAGGAGGCTGATAACCGTGCTTCAGTCAGAAAAAGGAGTGTGTCAAGGCGCAGGAGCTGTAGGAATGAGGGCTCAGGAGCAGTGTAGTCTGTCCAGCCTGGCTGCAGCTCGAAACAGTTTCCATGACCTGCAAACAGCCTGAAAGTCATTCACAATGAAGTCAAGTTTCTGATGTCAGGAGTTTTGAATCTTTTCTGCTTTCAAAAGAATATGCCACAGCACAAGCAGGTTCTCAGGAAGGCAGACATGCTCTTACAGGACTGTGGTGGCTGAGGCCCAGCTCAGCTCCACAAAGGGTTCATCCCCTGCCCCTGGCACTCTGCTGTCATTGCTGCCAGGGGGACCACAAAGAGGGACTGCAAACTACACCAACACTCCTCCAGAGCTGCAAGTAACAACTGACTAAAGCACTTCACAGCTGGAGCACTTGAGATAACCTGAACTTTCTGATAAGGAGCCCATTGTGGTCATTGTCTTCAAAACCAGCCTGTGGCCTCCACCTCAAGGGCTTTGCATGTGACAAACTGTGACAAACTTTGATAAACACTTGGTCAGCAACAGCCATTAACTACAGAGAGGAAAAATGCCTCTTTGCTACTGGGAAGAAGCCCAAGTCTTGTTCCTCTCAGGTGTCTCACAATCACTACAGGAATGACAGATGAGGATTTGCACGTGACAAGGAACATCCATTTTTACTGAACACAAGGACTGTGAGAAGATGCCACAGGACTGTACAACTCCTCTCCTGGATTATTGCAGCCTCTTGCTTATCCAGGCTATTCCAGTTCAAACCACACACAGCAGTCCCACAGACACCTCTGTCAAACCAACCCAACCCTGTGCCTGGTGGCCAGTACTGCTCCTTGGATTCTCACATGGATTCCCTCTAATGGATTTCTGAGCAATCAGGAGTTATTTCTGATTCCAAACACCCAAATCACTGTGTACTAAGAACAGGGCAGGGAAAGGAACATGTTTCTGAGGAATGTTTCTTAGGTTTGGCTTTAGACAAGGTATTGCCATTGCTGCATCCAGTGGGGATGGGAGTGAGGAAACCCCATCACACTGAGCAAATATTCTGCAGCTAAAACCTATTCATTTGGAGTGTAATATTCAACTCCCACAAATCCTGACAACACACAGCTCCAGGGAATTTCCCACAACAACCTGGAAATTATTGCTATTGTGGTTTTGAGTTGGTTTTTTTACCAAGGGCACCTCATATAAGCTCAAAAGAGAAGATGCAGACAAAAGTGAAGTCTCACCTATAGTGAGGAGAACCTACTAAATGGGATACATTTGCAAAAAGCCTGATATGACTGAGTTCTCCCACATCTAAATACATCAGTATAAATGCATTATCTCTCCCAGTTCAATCCAGCCTATGGTAAACCCGTGAAAAGACAGTTGGACAGAACTCAGAGTGGGAAGGAGGAAAAAGGGAGGCCCAGTGCTGACCCTCAGACAGGGTGAGAGAATCCAGTTGCAAATACAAATACTGCAAAAGACACCCTAAACTGTTCTGCACATAGGCCAATATTTCAGAGAGTTATTTTCACAAAAATTCAAAATGGCACCTTAAGCAGCAAATCACATTTTTGCCAAGTTTGTTCATATACTCTGCAAGAGGCAGCCCTCTGCCAAGCCATTTGGGACTGTCACTGCTGCCAAGCTGGACAAGCCACCACCACCAAAGTCTCACCTCTGAACATGAACGTGACCCTGTCCAGCCTAGCTTTTAACATTTTTCATGTTTAATTTTTCCTTTTAATGAACTTCAAGTTTAAGTAGAAATAACATTTCTCCCACTTTACAGCAATCTTTTAGACCGAACTGTTGAAAAAATCAGCAATTTCTCTTTCCCTTCATTTTACCTGTTGGGATAAATCTTCCTGGAGAGTTACTCACTGAAGCTTTGAGCATCCTGTTGTATACTCTGGATTACTCATTGATGTTTATGTATTTGTGCTTCATGTGGGAGAAGTTCCACGGATGATAGTGTAAGTTTTGGGTAAAGACACTGGGAAATTGCCTCCAGACACTACATGCCACCTGCAATGCCCAAAGAGGACTGCAGGAATGCCCAGGAATGAGCAAAAGCCTCTTTGCATCAAACAAAACCTATCAGAACATGCTGGCAGAAAACTGCTACTTTTCCCAGGATCTCCCTCCCACCTCCCCTCCTTCACCTGTGGGGAGAGCACGAAGCTCCTGTCACCATGTCCAAGTGCCCAAACACACAGGGACATCAGCACAGTAATTCTCAGATTTAAAGCTCCATTGCAGCTCCCAGGAAGGATGAGGGAAGGGCTATTTCTAAGCCCTGCAGATATGCTCTGGCTTTCAGTTGCCTGACACACAAGTCAGTCTGAAGTCTTCACACTGATATGGAGTAGGGATGTAAACAAAACCAAGCCTTGGAGATATCCCTGTCCTGCCTGGATGCCTCTCTCAGAGGCAGAGTCCTCAAACAGACGCAACTGGGACGTGTCAAGGGTTCTGGTATAAGGAGAGGATTAGCAATCATGGTTCTGGTGTGAATTAAGAGCTTCATAATTTCATGGTACTGACTTGTCTGCACAAAGTCTGCTCAGAGTAGGGCAATGGTTTTATGAACTACTGTTCTGCATCAAATCTGAGATGAGCAGGTTTCCCTGTGAGAAGACATTTGATATTCCTGGCTCAGGCCAGGTACTGGTGCCAGTGGCTCAGAGCTCTGCAGCACAGCTCAGCCAGTGCTGTGCCTCCAGGGAACTGCAAACTCCAAACCCATCCCGTGATATGGACCTGTAGCCACCCTGATGGGTCTGAAATCATCACATTTTCATTTCTACCTAATAACAGGGCCTGAATACAGAGCTCTAGAGGTAAAGAGACAAGGAGTTGACCAGATACATTGCTTCACCTTGACCTGTCTAAAATAAGAGTAAACAACTAGGCCCTGTATCCAAGTGCACCACTTAGGAATGACTGACAGCACTGAGCCCAGCACACAGGATGTTCTAACGTGGCTCCTGCCTCGCAATTTCCATGGGAATCCTCGGACAACTGAAAAACTAGTTGATTAACGACAGTCATGTCAACCATTCATGGTGTCCCTGAAGCCCCACACCTCCAGCACCGAGATCTGGAAGTTTTCAGAGCACAGGGGCTGGTTATTGAAAGTGTTGCAGTGGCTGGTTCTCCCGTGGTTCAGATCTGCATCCAGGTACAGAGCCTGCCCATCACCTCCTCCTGGGAAGAGACAAACAGAGGGTCAGGGGGGTATCTGCATTTCTTAGCATGGGAAACAGCTGTACAAATCCAAAATAAAGGACAGACTTCAGTGCTTCTCTCATGTGAGTAACTGGAAGCCCTCAGTGATGTCTGAGAGCTGTAACAAAGTATGATCAAATGTAAAAGTTTTAAATGCTAATATCAGAACTGGCTAGTTTCTTTTAATAATAATAAAGTAAAGTAATGCAGCTCAGTAAGAACAAGAAGCCTGGCTCAAATACCTGTACTTAAGATTTGTTTTTCAGTGCTGGAGGATACTGGAAGCTCCCAACTGCAAATTTTCCCTCCAGTTAAGAAAAACCAAATAATTCTGTTAGCAGCCAAAAATTAAAGGTGGGAGAAGTACAAGATTAGCAAGAAACAGTCTGGTCTTCTAAACCACTATAAAGCATGCAAGAATTAAAAGCATTTTGATTATCTGTGCGTCTATGTCAAGGTTCACGTTGCTTATAGTCAGAAAATGCAGAGAAGTGAAATAAAGTTAGACAGAAATATGTTAGCAAAACAAAAAGAAAGATCTCGTATTGCTTATAGGGCAACCATCAAAGAACAGCTACCAAAACCACCTGAGGAATCAAAAGGGTGGGAATTGTGGTCCACAGTTGGAGTTGTGTACAACACTCACTTGTCTGTATCTACCACCCAAGCCTGGATCTCCCTTATTCCTCCCCATAGTGTGGGATATGGTAAAAATAAGTGACTCCCTTCCCCAAGGATGATAAGAAGAGCTGGTGGGACACATCACACTCTACAGTTCCCTGACAGGAGGGGGAGCCAGGTGGGGGTCGGGCTCTGCTCCCAGGGAACAAGGGACAGGATGAGAGGGAACAGCCTCAAGTTGTGCCAGGTTGGATATTAGGGAAAATTTCTTCATGGAAAGGGTGGTCAGGCCCTGGCACAGCTGCCCAGGGCAGGGGTGGAGTCCCCATCCCAGGAGAGATTTACAAGCTGTGTGGATGTGGCACGTGGGGACAGGGGTGGCCTTGGCACTGCTGGGGGAATGGTTGGATTTGAAGATCTTAGAAGGCTTTTCCAACCTAAACCATTCCATAAGCCTCTGATTAGAGCACTGTTGCAGGGTGGGAAATCAGCCAACACTTGACATTACAGAGGAAATCACGGGCCAGTTGCTCTCCTAACAAGTGTCAAGTAAAGCTTTTTGGGAAAAGGACAACTATGGTTTTATACCTGTTCCTTGTAAATCCCATTTAGGTGACAACATTACTAAGAAGGCTTTTGCCAAAGTCAGCAGCACCACAGATCCAGTAAAGTTCCTGGAGAATTAACATGTTTTATAGTTTAGTCTGCGTTTCAAAAGCCTTGATGTAAAGTAAGTTCCTTTTTGAGAACTACCTCTCATCCTGAATTAGGCAGTTTGAAGGAAAGGCTGTGCTTAAAGCCACGAGCCTTCTCTAAAACACTTGCATGCAAGTTTTGCCACAGAAAAGCTTTGCTGGGAAATAATAGCAGGTTTTGGGCAGTTTTCTCTCTAACTGTGGCTGTACCAAAATAGACACAGAGGTCACCTGTATTTGCCAGGGATCTGAGGTGGAGGGAAGAGCTGGGGTGGGATCTGTGCCCGGATTCTCACAGTGACTCACCCACGATGACGCACTCGCTGCTGCCCGCCATGAACATGGAGGCGGTTTTGGAAGGCAGGTTGAAGTGCCGCGCTGACAGGAAGGGCGAGAGCCGCTCCGAGGGCTCCGGGGGGCCGCTGCCAGAGCACAGGGTGCTGCCAGTTGGAGAGGAGTGGTTCTGGTTCTCTGTCTCTGCACCAGCCGTGGCCAGCTCTGGGTGCTTTATGATCACCCACTCGTAGCGTTCCACTTCTGGCTGCAGCTGCAGAGGGGCAGAGAGCAGGGCTGTAGTTAATGCACACACTGCACAGAGCTCTGCTCAGCAAAGGACAGTCCAGACCCACACTGGCAGTGGGAAAGGTTGGATCAACCCTTATTGAGGCCAGATGTTGTATTCTTTATTCCTTTGCTTTTCAGGTGATGGAAGTAACGATGCAGCAATTTCTGAGTTACTTTATTACATCTCTCATCTCTGCATCACCTCTCTCTATAGGTCCCTGACAGGAGGGTGGAGCCAGGTGGGGGTTGGTCTCTCCTCCCAGGTAACAAAAGACAGATAAGAACAAATGGCCTTAAGTTGTGCCAGGGGAGGTTTAGGTTGGATATTGTGAAAATTTCTTCACTGAAAGGGCTGCCAGGCACTGGCACAGGCTGCCCAGGAAAGGGGCAGTGTCACCATCCCTGGAGGGATTTCAACGCTGTGTGGACGTGGCACTTGAGGACATGGCTTAGTGGTGAACGTGGTGCTGGTGCCACACTGATGACTGGAATTGATGATCTTTAAGGTCTTTTCCAACGATTCTATTCCATGTAAGGGAAGAAACTTAAGAGGAAGGGAAGTTAAGAGTTACCCAAGTACAGTGGTTCTGTCTTGCTACTGGGCAGGAACAATAAAACTGTACTCACCCTAAACACAAAGCACTCTCCAGTCCCAAAGAAGCTCAGCTTGTTCCCTCCTCGCCGGCGCTCACTCCAGTCCGTGGACAGGTAGGCCCCACACACCTGGCACAGACAGCATGGTCAGGCTCCCATCGAAGGAGGAAGGGTGTTAAACCCACTGATTCTAACATTTCAGAGGCCAAAACCACAGGTTTTAGTTGGACTTTCAGAATCTCTGTACCAGTGGATTAAAGCAGCACAGTATTTATATCTAAAGATAGATTTAAATTGCTTTAATCCACGGGTGGTTTCCCTTAAATCCGAAGAGTTTCATAAATTATTTCACATCTCTGAGGCCTTAAGGGAGAAATGTTCCAAGAGAACCCCAAAGCACAGATCACTCCAAACCTGTACAGCCTGACTCCCACTTCCTCCCTTTGGCATTCAAAGCAACAGTGTTGTCCCAAATTACAGTATGAGCAGCTCTGCATGAACATTTTCTGGTCATAAACAGTGGCCTTGGTGGCTTTCTTAAATTTCCAAGTGTAGGCTAAAGCCAGCTTAGCTAAGCCAATGCTGAACTAGCTCAGATATTTACCAGCAAACCGCATCTCCACTCATCTCCAACAAAGGGAAGCACTCTCAGAAGGCTGAGCTGTTTTCTGGAGCCTTTTGTTTGCAGGAGGAGAATTTTTTGCTACTGGCAATACACATCCCTGCCAAGTGCACACACAGTGAACCCCCAAGAGTAGGGTGAAAGCATCCCTGCTTCTTTTTTCCCCAGAAACTGGAAAAACAGTTATGGTCATATAGAATTGTTCTAAAGAACACTTGCTGTTTAGCCTCCACCAGTATTACAAACAGAGCTCCTAGGACAAGATCCCTGAAGATCAAGTTTTTTATATAGATAAATCTGTATTTAGAGTTAAATTTCAATTTAGAATTAAATCTAAATAATCCAGGAGTCTATTTGATGTGATATGCCTGATGGATAGGAGAGACAGAAAATCAGAAGGCAAGTTTTCTTCATTCTGGAAAGTAACTACAGACATATGAATAAAGGATTGTCGTGGTGTTGCCTTGGCTCAATTTACTCAATTTACAATTGACTCAATTTACAATCCTTTGCACTAAACCTCAAACCCACAATCACCAAACAAAATCCTCCTTATTTTTCTCGTCCTTTTTTTTTTTGGACTATATATTTTTTTTTTTGAGAGGTAAGAAGCAAACTATGCTATAAAAACCAGTATCCCTTCCAAAGACTTTTGACATAATCCAGGGCAAGAAGCAGAATAGTAAATAAATATTTCCCCCTTTCTCCCTTAGACACCAGGGGTATTCCATGAGCCACTGGCTTGTCAATGCAGGCCTGGCTGTTTAGAAATCATCAGAAATATGAAATTACTCAGAGTCTGAGCATTAGAGCTGCAAATAAGAGTAGAAATGGGCTTGTTCATGGACAGTCATCCTGCAGGGACACAGGCAGGAATATAAACCCACAGGCTGCAAGCAGTTTAATGTTATATACAGGCTATTTCAAAGTCATGCACGGTGATACAGACAACCAGCACCATCACAGGAAGCTCCTGTGTGCCCTCCTGAGAAGGTTCTGGGAAGAATTCTTGTTTTATGTATTAAAGCTGCTGCTTTCACATGATGCTGCCTGATACTGTCTCACACAGCAGAGCAGAGATAAGGCACCTGTGTGCACTCCTCAGCTTCTCACAGCTTCCTTGGCTTATTTTTGTCCCAGTCAAGAATGAGATGAAGCTAAGGCTTTTGCTTTCACATTATGTAGTGTAGCATTATTCATACAATTTAAATTCTGCTGCTTTCTCTTCTCATACCCTGGAGGAAATATCTTCTATGCATTGTGAGTTTAACTCAATTCCCACCCTGTCCCTTTGATTCTGCAATTCAGACTCTGCCCAAAAGTGAGTTACTTTAGTCCATCATTGCCCATTAGTTACAGGAGGAAAAGCAGCTGACCAAGACCTGGTTTACAAGATCTACTCAAGAACGCAGTCCTATAACCAACCAAAGGAATCATTTAAAGCATGGATTGTTAAAAACCCAAAACCAACCCTTGCTTATTCATTTTATTATAAACAGTTGTGTGTTGCAATGCAGCATCACACGCTGCCCAAAACCCAGTTTAATCACTTCTCTTTCACTTCACTCACCTCCTTTGCTGTTGTCTTGATGAGGAGAAGAGTTGGTTCGTGTCCCTCGCTGTGGGAATAGAACCTGAAGAGCAGAGCACACAAACTGAGCACTCAGCTACCACCAACTGCAGCTCCTTCCCTCCTCAACATCAGGCACCACCTCCTCCCCCAAATGATGCCACAGCAAAAAACATCTGAAGACTAAGAACATTCCTGCAAATGCTTTCTACAGTCCATGTAAATCATACAGCTGAGTGTAAATGAATATTGTTAAGCAGTTGTTCTCTACTCAGTTCTCTGCAGTTGTTTGCATCTCTGCAGAACAGCTGGAGACCCGACCATCCCAACAGCAGCATTTTACAGCATTTTGAATTAAAACAACCTAGAGGGCTGAAGGCTGTGTCTGAAGGGCTTTGGGTCTTCATAGAAACTAATTGTGATGCATTCTCTTTGCTTGCTTTTGCTCTTCCTCAGGCACATAGGGCTGGGAGAGCAGGTCACTCCCCAGCTCAGTACCTCACCAGCTGATGACAAGGTCATTTTTAGGAGCTATAGGGTTAAAGTCTTCTGTATCAAGTGGAAGGAGAACTCATACCTAGTTTGTCCCACTTAAAAAATAATGACAATCAGATTCGTGCAGAGGAATCTCCCTTATTCCTTGGATCAGTCTGAACATGGTTTTCTGTCAAAAGAGCCCGAAGAGCTGCCATTGAGTTGAACCACTCGACCCAGTGAGGAATGAACCAGTCTGAGACCAGCACAGTCTGGGAACTGACGGAAGTTTGACAGCTTGGAAGGTTGTCCTTACCTGCTCAGGCTACAGCCATGTTCCAAGGTGGTGAAAAGCAGGAGGGGCTGGCACAGTGCAAATCGCTCAGGGATCCACGACCAGATGTCTCGCATCTCCTTCACACTGACAATTTCTGACTTGAAGTTCTCAGCATGAACCGCCAAGTGCACATTCTGCCTGAGAAATACAACACAAACCATTGAGAAACAATAATTTAACAAGGTTTGGATTACTGGGCAGTAACATGCAAAGACAGCTGAGCACTAGCAGACCCTAGTAGATAAGTTAGTGTTCAAAGCTCCACCTCATGGGATTAGAAAGCCATGGCCTAGTGAAGGTAATAAATTACTGCAATTTAACATAATCCTCAGAGGCAGAGACCTGGCCTGACTGAAATACCTGGAGCTTTTCCTCTGTATGGCAGCTGTTGCCTGCACCTTTATACACAGAGGACACAACACTGAGCCAGTGAGGATGACCACGACCTTAAATAGTACAAATTGTATTTGCTATTTGAGATGGTCTCTCTCTCTCAAATTGCACTTGTATTTAAGCACAGAGAACAGAACAGTCAGGATCTGAAAGGAAGGGGTAGTACTATCCCCACCCCCTCTCAGGTTCTGCCTGGATCAGGGGTTAGAGAATCCCTAAAGCCCTCAGAAACCTTACAGGAGTTAGTATTACCAGGTTGGGCAATTTTAATCCAAGGAAAATGTCTGAAGCTTTGTGAAAGTTCCACCTCTTGGAAACATGTCATTAGCAACGACCTCCACTTCATTAAGAACCAAAGAAGTTCCTGGGCTCATGGTTACAGATGGAGCTTGAGAACATGAAGGAATGGTGGACACAGACACTGGAAAGGAAACGCCCTCATCCCTCAGAGGAGTCTGATACACTTACTAAGGATCGATTCATAGCTTTAAACACTTGAGGGTAACAACCATCATCATCTTAACCAGTTTTCATTTCTCAGATTAAACAAGCACATAAACCCAGATTAAACAAGTGTTATTGTCATGTTAAACACTCCAAATGCCGAGGTGACAGCCAAGGACATGGTGCAGTGACACAGGAGCTCACACAAGACAGTGAGTTACTGGGCAGCCAACAGTCAAGGGAAGCTTTGTCAGTTTGCTCTGCATGCAAGGGTTCAGGTGCAAGTATTTGCCTATTTCTGATGGTTTTTTTCTGATAATTACACATTTGTTTCCTCTCAGTTTCATGGAACATAAAGACACGCTCAGTACATCTGCATGGATCTGGACAGCTTAGCTCCCTCCCTAAAATACACCAACTGTAATTGTTATTTTTCATGCTTGTAGGATGAAAAAAACAGCAGCATTTGTACTGTACTTCAGAGTGGTGCTTGCCTGCAGACACACTGGGACCTGCTTTCTGAAACTCACTGTAGCTGCCTTAGTGTCAGCATTTCTGATGAAGTGACTCCTTAAGTCACTTAAAAAAAATTACCAAAATTACTGCTTCCTCCAGCCAAATGAACCAAATCACTCCCTGCATTGCTACCCTGAGTTATTTAACGAGCAAGGAACTTTTATGGGCACCTACTGAAGGAACTTGCAACTCTTAATGGTTTTTAAAAACTTACAGTATCATTGACTAGGGAAATGATTTGTGTTTTTAAACAGCAAGCTGAGGCACAGGAAAGATCCACTGAAGCAAAGTCTTTTAACCCACATCTCCAGAATCTTACTTTAGGTCTCATTCTCCGGATCCTGTCTGGTCTGCAGCTAAAACTGGTGGCACTATGGAACAGAGCTGAGAAACAAAGCCTTGGTTTCAGTTCAGCAGAAATTAGATACTTTTTTTCCACATTTAAGTAATTAAAAAGTATTCAGGGCAATCAAGCAGTTTGTTAGAGTGAATTTCTGGAGGAAAAGTAACGATGATAAATAGGCTAAGAGTTAGTAGCAAATATCAAAAGTTTTAAAGTTACACCTCAGGCAAGCCATAGAATTATTTGTATTTCTGTCTGTATATTTTTCACACTTCTGTGAGCTCTTTGGGCAACCAAACTTCAGCTCTTGTTCCTAAAAGGCTCTCACACTCAGAGTGCCTTTGCTTTTGCCTTTGTTCCTTCTGGCTGCTCTGAACTGCTGGTTTAAGGACTTTCCTCCCCAAACCCCACTCGAAGCCTGAGCTCAGCAGTTTTCCAGGAACACATCCCTTTCAGAATCCTGTGCCTTCCCACAGCTCTTCCATGGAGGTAGAATATCACCTTTTCAAACAGATCTTTCGGATTACTCAAAAGCATTTACCACTATATTGGCCATTTAAAACTATCCCAGGAATACAGTTCCTTCCCTTTGAATATCATGGCAAATAATTTCATATTTAATCCCATCATCTAGTTCAACCTAGGCCATAACTTGGCCAAAGGATGTGAAATCAAATGACCTGCTATTTCCCAGTCACAAATCACAGCTGTCTGAGACTGAAACCTGACCCTGTATTGATACCACACACAACCTGTGCCTACATCAAACCATCTGTGCTGCTGAGCAAAAAATACAAGGGTTTTTCTGGGGAGGGAGGGCCCAGAAAATTGCAACCAGTTACAAGTATCTAACCTGTATTAGTCCTCTTATTTTTGACAGTATTTATCTAATGACACTGAAAATCATCTCCTTCAGTTTGGCAGCTGCTTTTCAAAGTAGGAGATGAGTGAAAATGAACAGAACACAAGTTGACTAAAAAAAAAACCCAAGTGTTTTGGTTTATATTCATTGAGGAAAAATAAGTTTAGCCTTCACCATACCACAGGTCTTTCAGGTTATCTGGTAGAAAACCAAGCAGTTTGAGAAATCAGTAAATTTGGACAGCATTACAGTCTACCACTAGAACTAAACAAATTCAATAAGATTTTACACTGCATTAGTGTTTTCCTCAGTTACTGGGATGAGAATGAAAACTTTCTGTTCACTGCTGATGTTGGAAAGACTTGTTCAAACTGCTATTATACCAGAGGAAATTAGATTTAGAAACCTAGCACAATTAATGTTTAATAAAGCAGCTTATTTGCTATTTTCATTGGGAATGCTGTTCTTGCCAGATGTATCATTAATACAATGTGCTTCAGACACCTCAAAGGTCCCAGTGATATGCCCATGACAACAAATACCCCACTCCAAGGTGTGACTCACTGAGTTACATCCTCCTGCTCTACCCTGGTTTGGGTCAAATCTTATAGGGGCTGCATTAGCTTTAAATTCCATTGTAATGTCAGTGAGGGCATAATTGTGTAGGAAAAGGGAGATGTTCTTTTTCAGTCATAAATGGCAATATAAGTAATTTGTAGCGCGTAAACCTGAAACCTAATTCTGTGTTGAGATCAGATATCCTGCACCTCCCTAAGCCCCTCAAACCCAATCTATTTCCTAGCAAGAAATCAAGGCTTTCTGCTGCTTTCAGAACAATTTAACTGCAGCAAAATAATACACAGATGCTGAAAGTTTACTTGGCTGGAACTAACAGCCTGCTGATTCATTAAGGGTAAAATCCTCAGCACAGAAGTTATGGTATGAAACATGCTTTGCTAAGTCTCTTAAGATGTTCTTTCAAACATGAAAACACAAGGAAATTAATTCCAACTTTGATTTTATAAATTAGTACAAATGTTAGTGTGCACCACTCACTAAAGTTAACTCAGGGCACCTGCAGCAAGGCCAGAGGATTCCCAAATGCATCAATTTAAACCCAAACATCTGTGGTATTTAATACTCACAGGGCAGCCTTTTTCCTTTCCAAGTTCTCCTCTTATCGGATACCACAATCCACTGGGTTTTGTTCTTTAAGATTTACTTTTCAGGTCAAGACTTGATGAATGACTTCACTGCCCGTTAATGCTCTATGGCTGAGTAACTCTGACCTCCTTGACACAGGAAAGGAGTCTTGTCTTCTCACCTCTAAAAAACCTCTACTTAAAAATAAATATAATTCAGTATTAATAGTGACAGGTCACTTTTAGGAGTGTGCCAAGTTGGGGTCAGTCCAATATCTTTCCAAATAACTGCAGAAAGCTTGCAAAGAAGAAAAGAAGTTGAGTGTGTCTGACATCTAATACGAGAGCATATACCAGGTTTGGATGTGGGACAATACCCAGCTGCTCTGAAAACATGTTATTTATTAAAAAAAAAATAATAACACTTTTTCTTCTCAGGTAGAAAGGACCATTATTATAATGGCCCTTTATAGCCATTACCATGATCCCACCACGTAATTACTCTTTCCACTCTGCAAGGCACAAGTGTGTTGCTGTCTGAAGTGCTCTGCTCACTCCCTGGGCCATGATCCCTTCCCTGACAGCTTTGCAGGTGCTTTGAACTAACTTTGCAGGAGCTGCTCAGGATCTGTGGCACAGCAATGGGATGCTCCAGTTGCTGCCCTCCTTCTCCTGCCCCCATGTCAGCAATGACAACAGCCTCGGAACAGATAACCAGCCAAAGACAGGGGAAACCAGCAAAGTGCAAAGGGTTTAACCTACTTTTTTTTTAACCTACCTTTTGGGAGATGCAAGGCTGCAAACAGGAGGGGTGCAGTGGGGATGGAATGGACAGAGGAGAACGTACAAGGAGAAAGACAAAAAAAAGATAGAAAAGATCAATGACTTCCTACATCCGTGACAAAGTGAGTGAAAGGAGCCTGGAGAGAAACAAAGCAAGGTTTGATTTGAGTCACCAAGCACAAGAAAAACAATCAGACAGGTTAAAACATTTCTATTTCTATTCCCCCCCTTTTTTGTTAAGGGATTCGAAAATAAATCAACATCTCCTTGCACAGGCCAAACAGACCTGGAGAAGAGAACTCACTGACATGCTGTGGTGGAGCCCTGGAGAACAGCTCCCATCTCCTGCACCCACACTGCCCACGATGGGACCCAAACTGAGCCAAGCTCCCCTGGACACTGAGGAGTTTCAGTGGGTTTACAAAAGCAGCCAAGAGAGGATAAATATCTTTCAGCAGCAATCCTGCCTGGTGTAGCAGCATCTCCTGGCTTTATCTGGGTATATTACTGTATTTTGCTTTGAAGGCAGCACAGTTGGGAGTGAGAATTTCTCGGTGACATGTAACACAGTAGGAGCTTCTGGGGGTTTTGTGGTGTGAGGGTTCTTTTCTTTTTTTTCCCCTTTTTTATTTTTTTTTTAAATTTTATTTTATTTAAAGCTCTCATTCTCTTTTGAAGAATATACTCAGAAAGGATATTACAACTCTCCTGAACTTCAGAACAGGAAGAAAAGACACATATTTGGGAGAGTTAATACTCCTGGTTGTGAGTCTCAAATGCAATGGTCTAAACTCTCCCTGATGTGACAATCCACTGGCTAAAGGCCTTGAAATATTTGAATCTGACAGAAAAATGAAGCAGCTGATTGTAAACCAAGCTGAGTCTAAAAATTAACCACAGGAAAAGACTAGAGGGAACTTCCCATGTGCTTACACACATGAAGGAGGTTCAGCTAAGCTTTGTGCTGCTTTATGGGCCGAAATGTGCTCAGTATGTATTTCCATACCATGGAATGGTATCTGTTGACAACTAACTCAGCAACAGCTGGAAGATCCTACTACATCAGAGGCTGGTACCTTTGGATTTCTGAAGATTTAGAGAAAATGAGGCTGTGCCTATAGAATGCCAAATTCTAGAGAACACACTCACTGACCCAGGGAGTGTGGAAGTCACCCTTCCCTTCAGAGGGCAGGGCAGCTCATACAACTGTCCAACACAAACTTAGATTTCCAAAGTGGCTGGGAGAAGTTTGCTGCTGTCAGAGGCCTCTGGAGAAACAGAACATGCACCACCAGCATTTACCTGCACATACATCTGCACTTGGCAGGATGCTAATTTTGATTAGATTAATAAATCAGTCCCTTTTCCATATCCATGGAGAGGTCTTTCAGCTAGGCTTTTTATTAGTGTGGCTTTTACTACCACAGTGCAGCAGGATTTCATTCCCTAGTTTCACAGCTGGTTTTTTCTCTCCTCATTTCTGAAAAGGAATTGTGATGACACAAATCATGTTTTGGACCTGCATACTCACTCTTCTCTCCCACATTTCTTTCAAAATCATTATTTCTAATAGTACACGAACCTGTCACAATATAGATCAGCTCCCACCTGTGACTGCTACTCTTGACTTCCAGGAGGATTGCAGTCAAATTAATTTAAAAAGTAACCTGTAAATAAGATGTTTTTCATCCTTGCTCTGTTAAAATAACTCCCCAGTTAGGCAAAATGTTCCCAGTTGGGACAGCACCTGCTTACACTAAAGAACTGCTGAATTCACAGTACTGGGCAGCATCAATTTGATGTTTTATACTCTCATTTTTATAATCTCATATTTCAGAGTTAATTTTCACATTTGTATTGTATGTTTCTTCCAAGTAAATTAAGAGTGCTTTTTCCAGCTTTGCTAAAATGCCTTTTAATTTAAAAAAGAAAGACACTTTTGAGATGCAAGACCTGTAATTAATATGTACCTGTATAAATTCATCACTGAGCAAGCTATGAGAAATTGCTCTGTTCCTCCTGTGTTGTAACACCTCAGTTACACTTCTCACTACAAAGCTAGCTTTCAGGCTGGTGGCTTTTTCTGCAGAGAGAAAGCATCAGAGGACACCAGCACACATGAGTGGAGCTGCCCAGCAGTGCCCCAGGGTTGCCCGACTGCAAAAACTCTGGAGGTGGCTCAGGCTGCCTGTGGCAGCCCCTACCTTTTCTGTTTGACCGTGATGCCCTTCTGCTGCAAAGCCTTCTCGTTGGCCATCTGCAGCAGATGGATCTCCTTCCGAGAGAAAAGGCGGATGGCAAAGGCTTTTTCCAGGAGCCTCTCTGGAGACACCGACTTGGCGATGTCCCTCACGAAGGCTCGGATGTCCTGCTGGATGCTGTCGGACTCCATGGGCTGCCCAGCCCGGACCTTGTGAAAGAACTTCAGAAGGGCCAGCGCGACGCGGTACAGAACCTTGTACCCTTCCACCAGGAACACGTCGAAGACCCGCGCGACGTAGGCCATGGGCAGCTCCCCGAAGAGCCACCGCTGCCAGTCCGAGTACACCTCCAGCACGTCCTCGGACACGGCCACCATCAGCTTGTGGGCCGCCTGGCAGTACTTGTTCACCAGGTCCCCGAAGGTCATGCAGGAGGACTCAAAGGCCAGGAAGGTCTGGTCGATGAGCCGCTTGGAGGGGTCATTGCAGGCCAGGATGCGACAGACCTGCTCGAAGCACTCGGCCTCGTCCTTGCTGTAGTGCAGCAGCAGCGCGGTCACCGCCGGCAGCGCCGGGCAGAACGAGATGTCCGGGAACTGGTTGGCGACGCACAGGATGATCTTCCTGACCGCCCCCACGCCCTCTGCGTTCAGGCAGTACGTGGGGACCAGGCTGTTGTCCACAAACTCTGGCAGGGGCAGGGAGCTGCTGCTGCGCTTTCCAACGATCTTCACCACGATGTCCCGGTACACGTTCGCATCCGGGGTCACCGTGCGGCACGGGATGCTGCTGATGAGTTTGTGGTACACTTTGGCTCTCAGACAGTGGTTCTTGGCCCAGTAGCCCTGCCGGGCCAGCTGCTTGAGCTCCTGGAACTCGGTGCAGCTGAGCTCCTTCGTGTCCTGGCTCTGGGCACTCACATCCATTTTGTCCCAGTCCACAAAGCGGCTGTACTCATCCATGGCTCCAGGAGAAGCAAATCAGATAAACCATGAGAACAGACACCTTACTTAGTCATTGAGGGACTCAAAGATTTTTCTGCAAAAGGAAAAGTAAAAAAAAATAAGAGGTTTGAGTAACAGGTAATCTCCCACTTCCTTTAGGAACAGAGACACATACATTCAACTTGTTCCTGCAATAGCAAAACAGTTTTCTACAGCAAAGAAAGTTAAAGATGCCTCTTCATTTTTAAGTCCAACTTTCCTTGCATTGTCAGTAACTCCTACTGCAGTAATTGGTCAATGGCCAGCCAAGAGGCTGATCCTGAGGACATCTCCCCAGGAATTTAATTTCCCTAACTGCAGGTCTAAGCTGAGGCATGGACCTTTATGTTCACATCTCACTTATGAAAACAGAAGACTCGCTTCAAAAATATCCATTGTAAGGTCTGTTCAATTTGCAATCTCTCTTTCCAGTTCTCTGGGGAAGTTAAGCACTACTTATACTAGAAGGATGCAGTCCCAGAAGTAGTTTACACTGTTCTGAGACTGTGTGGCCAGTGAGATCTGATCTCCTATCAGCCACAGCCAGGTGCTCTTAGTCATTTCTTTGTGCCGGTACAGGCACTTGTGTGATCAACAGTCACTGAGACCAGCTTGTTAATCTGCTATAATTTTTGTTTTTCATTGGATGAGCAATATTTCTTCACGGAAAAGGCAGTCAGGCAGTCGAGCAGGCTGCCCAGGGAGGTGGTGGAGTCCTTGTCCCCAGATGGTGTTCAAGAAATGACTGGATGTAGCACTCTGGTCCAGTTGACAAGGTGGGGATTGGTCACAGGGTAGGCTCCATCTTGGAAGTCTTTTCCAGCCTCAGTGATTCTGTGGTTCTGTGTCAGTCAGATCATCACAAGTGCCACAACAAAGATTAGTCCAGGACAGACTTCCCCTTCCTGACTGCAGTACAGGCTTGGGTCAGCTTCAAATAGCTTCATTACAGCACTTCCACGTTGCCAGTGGCACTCTGGACATGGCCATGCCCTGTCACACAGGCACACAGCAGCTCTCCCACTAGAGGGCCTGCTGTCCCCTGCACTGGAGATGTCACAGACACCTTTGCAGACAGCAGGTTTTGACCATGTGCTTCCCTTATCTACGAGCTGACTGCAGGTTTAGGGCACAGCTGTGTCTCAGCACACACTGTGGCTGCCACCACTAACGGCCACACCCGAACCAGCTTTAATCAGTCAGTGCAAAACCAGAAGGGGAGATACAATAAAGTCCACTGTCACAGCAGGTCTGCCCTGCTGGAACCTCTCTGCCAATGTGCCCTCAGTGCCAGACCGAGGCTGGGAACATGGCTGTGGATGCTGCACACTCTGCAAAGGCAGATAATCCCTATATGGGCCTATGAAACTGTTTTGCATAATTAAGACATTACATAGCAAGGTTGAATCAACAAAAGCTGTTACTGAAAGGCTTCCAAAGAACCCTTAGTCATTCCTGTGTTGACAGACTGGAAAATGCATGGAACTTGACATTTATCTCATGGTCTTCCATAAATCAGGTGCTTTAAAATGGTTTGAAACTCCTAAGATAGATACACCATCAAGACAGGGAGCTCACCCTCCTGGCTTCCACACAGGAAAGTAAACCAAACATTTTGTGTGAAGCTGCCACATATTTAATCCAGACAGTTTTAGATTCTGACTAAACAGTAATTTAGGTATTTTGGAATCACATGCTGAAACTCCAAGATTTATCTCCTCTTTTAAAAGTTGGCAGTAACACATAGGAGCCTTTCAGAGAAGGCTTTTGGATGGCTCTTCTCTCCCATATTTCAGGGGTTTTTTTTAGTCATCTTTGTACAGCGTAAGAGCAATACAGAAATGCTCACCACTTTGTTGCATTCTTCCCCATCTGAAGCTAATTCTCAGCCTGTAATTACAGGAGGCAACCCATTGTCCTGACACTGAGAGATCTCCCGGGGTTCAGCTGAGTGTGTGTCTCCAGCAGGTGCAGGAGGACACCAGTCCATCGCAGAGCCAACGTCAGCTCCAGGGAAGTTAACATTTCTCTGCCATTCTCCACCTGGGAATTAGAGAAAAACTAAGTATTTTTAATTCAAATCCTAGAGTAAGGTTCCTGTGTAGAAGAGAAATTTAGTTCTATTTTGCAGTGGCCAAATGACACCGAGATGAGCCACTCTGCTCATGGACACTTCAGTACAGAAACTACCACTGCCCTGTGCTTGCTGGATTCTCCAACACGCTCCCACCTTGTGCCACCATCCCTTGGGAGCTACTTGATTTATATTTGGGAGTTAAGTAAAATGTCCATCATATAAAACAACTTCTACAATACCCAGAGAAATATCTTGGCTGTCTGTCTTTTTCCTGTAAACTTTCTTCTATTGTCTTATTTTCCATCATCCAGAGATGCAGGCATACTTAGTGGCTGCATCAGTCATTTTTCCCTCTAGCAGTTACTCCCCATTCCAGGAACTTACCAATTTAATGAATGTGCTCCTGAAGCTCACTGAAATCCATGGCTAGAGGATGGCAGTCAGACTACCAGAAGTTTTGATTTGAGCTCACAGTTTTAGACATTCTTTGGCTGAGATAAATCTGCTAGGTCTGCAAGTAAGTCTGGCTGCTTCTGCTTTTCACAGCTCTAGATGCTGTGAGAAGAAGTGACAGCAAAGCAAATGGGCATTGTCAAGGCTGCCAGAGCATGACCAGCTCTTAACTCTGCTTGCAAAACCAACAGAAGTTGTGTGCTTCTGTGTAATGGGGCATAGCTCCTGACACTGTGCCAGCAGCTACCGTGAGCCAGCAGGTCTCAAATGGAGCCTTCTTCTCCTCCTCCCACTCTTTCTGAGTCTTCCTGCAGGGCAAGTTCTCTCTCTTCTGGCAATGGTGTAAAGGGCAGTGCTTAACTTTGGGCTGGTGGGAAAAGCAGACAGAAGATGTCCCACCCTCAGCAGCCAAGGGCCAGTGAGTCAGGGCTGTCTCCTGCCCATCCCTCCCACCACAAGGCAGCAAACAGGCAATACAGACTCATATTTGGAGGGACAGAAGGCTGGAGTTTCAGTTAAAGAGCAAAAACTAGAGGAGGATGGCTGTGTGAGAGTGCAGCTGGGTCACAAAGTCCCATCTTCACCTAAACTACCTTGCTTACACATATAAAGGAGGGGTAAGATACAGGCAGAAGGGAAAAAACCATTTCAGAATGAAATGTTTGTCTGAAGATGCGGTTAAAGGCACACAAAGAGATTCACTTACAGCCCCTGTTGCAGCAAAACTTTCCTTGCTGCTGAAGCAGCAGGAAGCCAGCATCACATCATGATAAATACCTTCTGACTGGACATGGGGCCAGGAGGGATCAGCACCTGAGCTGCACAGAACTGAACTGCTGTCAGAACCACAAGGGGATTGTAAAAACTTAAAAGAGAAAAAATTACATTACTTATAATAACCATAGAACCACAGAATGGTTTGGGTTGGAAGGGATCTTAAAGCTCATCTCCTTCCACCCATGGGCAGAGACATCTTCCACTAGCCCAGGTTGCTCCAAGCCCTGTCCAACCTGGCCTTGGACACTTGTAGGGATGGGGCAGCCACAGCTTCTCTGGGCAACAGCAAAGCTCTAAAGTTCTGTACTCCTTATTTAGGGGAAGCAGTCATTATCCTTTCTCATCAGACTGACTTTTACAAAACAGCAGGAATTAACAGAGAAGAACATAACCAGGACAAAGAGCTTTTTTCTTAGTACCTGCCCCACAGTTTGGAGATTGTTAGATCTACTAGTTTATAACGGAGCTCTTCAGGTAAGTGCAATATAAAAAAAAAGCAAGCACATAAGTGAGAATTACAAATAGAAAAATGCATATTGAAGATTTGCCAACAATGGCTGCAGCAGAGGCAAAAGATTTTCAAGGTTAAGTTTAAGCTGTGAAGCATTACAATTCAAACCCGAGCAAGGACCATGGTAACTGGCACGAGTTCAAGCCAGTGACTGAATTTTTAGGAAATATTTAGCTTTCTAGTCTAGCCCCATTTTCCTTTTCATTCCCTTACCTCTTCCCATTGTCTTTTGGGCTGCTTTCAGAAGACTGCTGAAAACTGCCTGAGTCTGTATAAAATACCCAGCAGTGAAGCCAAGCATGACAGGCAAATTCCCACATTGCCTGTGAAGAAAAATTCTCTGAAAGTGTCTAAAAACACACCAGCAGGAAAAAAAAAATTGAATTATGGCTTACTTTTGTTATGGGGAATATAATACTTTCACTAAAGATAACAAGTCTGGGAACTTCAATAATTTTATTATTGAAAAGAATTATTTTATTATTAAAAGAGTGGTTTTGTTGTTTGTTTGCTTTGTTTTTTCTTTCCAAAATGTGAGAAATAGCAAACTGAAGTATCTGAAGTACAACTAACCCAGAGGATGTTTCCTTCATGCATGGAGGAGTCTGACAGAAGCACAAAGCAACACAGCAAGACAGCAGTAACCGCAGAACAAAAGGCACAGGGCAGGCAGCTTCCCTCTCCTTTCCCAGTACTCCAGTGCATCCTGCAGCTTTCCCAAGCCTGGACTTCAAGCAGCACACCTTGACATTTCTGCTCTGTGGATCTGGAAATGAGACGGGACACCACAGTTCCCCTTTCCCACACAACCCTGATCACAAGCAGGGTTTGTCCCTTGTCCAGGTTTGCCACTCTTACAGCCTCAGCCAGGTCCTCTGCCAGCCTCCCAGGGCAACTGTGAGCTCCAGAGCTGGAATTAAACACTCCATTTAGCAGGAGAAGAGCAGGGAGCATTGGGAACACACGATCCCTGCCGGCAGAGCACACAGAGATCCATGGATTGCTTTAACTGCTTTAAATGCTCTTCGATCTCTGTGCGGCGCCCTGGGCACTGTGCACAGCACAGCTGGGAACCAGGGACACAAGCCCTGATCATGCCCTAATACGAGCTTACCAACAAGCTGATAGGGGATTAGGAACTGCTTCCTGCTGGTTTTTTTGTATTCTTTTCGGACAAAGCCTAGAAACTTCTGGGTCTCCCAGTACTCTGATAAAGAGCTGATATCAGAGTACTCTACAGGCAAATCATTTTAGGCATCTGCGTGATTTCTCTTGGGATATCAGTGCTGCATACGAAGCACAGTCACAGAGGTTTGTCCTGGAATCCCATGTTTTCATTCTGAGAAACTTATTACCACCTCCTCAAACAGTCTTTAAGTTACCTGTAATTAATTTGTTGTGCACTTTATTACAGTCTAAAGTTCAGACACACACTGAGATCTTCACTGCTGGGCAGGTAAGTGACAGTAGCTTATATTTAGGAGACTGTGTATGCCACAGAATCAGGGAATGATTCTATAGGTGGGAAGGGACCTGAAAGCTCATCCCATTCCACTCCCTGCCATGGGCAGGGACACCTTCCACCAGCCCAGGTTGCTCCAAGCCCATCTAACCTGGCCTTGGACACTTCCAGGGATCCAGGGGCAGCCACAGCTTCTCTGGGCAACCTGTGCCAGGGCCTGCCCACCCTCTGAGCAGAGAACTTTTCCCAATATCCAATCTAAATACACCTCATAGCTGCAAGCACTTCAACAGAAAGCAGCCCCTCATTGCCATGCAGGCTGGGATGACACAGTGATGCTCAATCCCCGTGAGCTGCACTGATCAGTAAGATACCATAAAGGCACAAAATAAACACACAAAACCAAGCAAGAGAAAAGACTGGGGAAAACCACAATACGTTCTTGTGGAAAAATTGGAAGAGAAAAAAATGGTTAATGGTTCCACAAAAGGCCAAAAAAGCTAAAAAGCAGAGCTCTGTAAGAGGATACTGGAGGTAAATGTTATCAAAGCCACAGATCAGCAGCTTTCTCTCTGGCCTACATCATAAAAACACATAAGAAACAATTAATGAAATTAAAGAGAGGACAATTCCTATCTTAGTTCCCTGCAAACCAAAAGAAAACTGCACTTAGCCAGCAAAAGTATTTTAAGTGATGCATTAAAAAAGATATCTGTCAAAGTAGTGCAAAAAAAAAAACCCAAATTTTTTTTCTACTACGTTGTCTGTATTTTCCTTCTGGTTCTTCCAAACTGTAAGACTGAAAAAATTCCTCATGTTGTGCTAATTATTTTTCTTCCCTTTGTTTCAAAAATGGGAGTAACCAGGAACACGTCTCCCTTCAAGGCAGTCTTCAGTCTTCTTTTTTTCCTTCCTCTAAAACCTTCAGTTCGTATTTTTCTCCATTTGGAAGCACAGTCAACTGCTTAGAACCAAAGACAGTGTGACTGTCAGTGAACAACTTGACATGGTATCAAATCCACATGCAATAAACCAATCCCTTTTCCTGCTCTGTCAGTTTGACATCCATCACTTCTAGACCTCTCCACTACAAACATTTACTGGTAGAAAAACATATCTAAATATCTGTGATTTGAAGTGTTCTCCTCTGAGACACAGTGTCTGTACTGGTTTATGTCCAACACTGTGTAAACGAGGACGTACAGGCAACATGTACTCTACAGGTACATGGAATCAGGTTTTATTCCTTACACATTTAGTGTTTCTTCAGGTCCAGAACAAGCAGCCTGACAGCATGAATGGAAACACAGGGAGATTTTTACTTGCAGAAGACACAATTTGAGATACCAGGAAAGGGTACTCCTAGGAGAGAGGTTTGCCAAGAAGGGATTCCCAGTCCTTGGCAATGTTCCATGGCTTCATCAGCAGGACAAAGCCATTGAGGGGCTGAAGAGCTCACACCTCCTACACCTGCTCCTCCCACTGCCTGAGCAGTCTCCACAGCACATGATTATTCCTCTTCAACAGGTTTTTGTGACCAGGGCTTTTCTCTGTGAATCACAGGTTCTCTGGAGCCCCTGGTGGTCTAGTGGTAAGGGCGCGGCGCTATCACTGCCGAGACCCGGGTTCGATTCCCGGTCAGGGCCACTCCTGGGCAGGTGGGGCTCGTTAGCCCTTAAAGGCAACCCATCTACGTCCTAAGGACCTCGCTGCCACCATCCAAGCTCGCTTGGCCCCGGCAGATGAACCTTAGGATTAAAGGGTGGGCTCAGTTCCGCGCACACTGTGTCTCACCTAAAAAATCCAATGGGCAGGCTGGAAGGTGTAAAGACCTTCCCCAGATCTTCGCTCGCGAAGACTGGCCATTATTACAGGTTCTCTAGTTTGTGCAACCACCAAGCTGCTGGGACGCTTTACACCCCAAACTGCAGCAGGAGCAGGTCCCAGAGCTAACGCAGCCCAGCTACAACGTAACAAACCCCTCAGCTCCCCGGGGCTTAGACTGCCAGCTTATCCCTGGCCTCACTGCCCCGCTCATTCCCACGTGAGGGAGGGCATGGGAGCTGCTCCACGGGGATGAACACACCTTGTGACAAAGCCTCTCCTCGCAACAACCTCAGCACTCTCCAAGTCATGATCTGCACCATACTGTAACTGTGGGGTTTTTGGTTTTTATCCTTCTGTTCCATACAACAGCAGCCTTTTTCCATGTAGGGTTTAACAATGTGCCTGCTGTGCTGGGCCAGGTGAGCACCAGGAGCCCTGCCTGCAGGCTCCAGGGAAGCCTTTGCTGCTCAAGTGATGTACAAGCAGAACTAGCTCATCACAGTCTCAGCAGCAACTTGCTAATGCAAATATATTTTCCATTCAAATATATATACACACTCACAAAACATACATTGCACTGTACATATTGTATATATACATGGACATATACATCCCATTTTTAAAAACTAATGCTCCATTTCTTCAAAATATTCATATTTATCAAAAATACATCCACACAGATGAATGTTGCACATTGTCTCTTGCAAAAGGTTTAAAATATGAATGGTACCATTTAAAGTCTATTAGGGAAACAGGCCAATGTCCCAATTACCCATCATTAAAAACAAAATTCCTCATCTTTAAAATAAAACAAAAAGACAAATTATTCAAAGCAATTCAAGTACCAGTGTGGAAACTTGTGCCAATTAAATTTTTCTGTTAAATCAATGGATAAGGTATGTTTATAGTGAGTTAAGATGCCTCAGTGTAACACATGAATATACAAAGTCTTAACTGGCAGTGCTGGAGAGCTTAAGGGATACCTAAATTAGGGAATAGGTGGATGCTGAGCCTATGGAAATCACTGCACACACTCCTTGATTCTGTAGTAAGCCATGGGACATATGCTCTATTCATGCCAGCAGTTATCCCTAGAACTTGTTTAGATTTGTGCTAGATTTGTGCTTCCATAACTTCAGCCAGCAGTTAAAACCAGGGTAGGAAAATCTTACAATCTCAGACTATTTCATTGTCCTCTACACTCAGTGCAAGGGTGTAGCAGTTTTCTCTCAGAAAACAAAAGTCGATTTACAGATGAGCATATAAAAATTAAAGCTGTTGTTTTCCTCAGGATTTATTTTCTTCCATCTCTACAAAACCCTATCGATTTTATTCCTTTCTTCTGAGATTGCTCAGGAGAAAAGCTTCAATAATCCTGTATGCCAAATAATGGATTACTCTTTCCTGAAACAAAGTGTAGGTTATCCTACCTTCAGAAGATATTCAGACACCAACACCAACCAGTTCCAACTACACTTTACAGCTAAAGGAGGACCTAAGATCAGCCAACAGCTCCATTTCAGGGAACTGCAACAACACTTCTTCATTTGGGTACTGATTTCTATTGTCTTTCTAAGTTCAGGCACTATTAAAAGATTAGCAACAAACACTCCTGTACAGCAGCAAAGATACAGAAACAGCACCTCATAATGTAAAACTGATCAGTGTAGAATCCCCAACCAGTCCTGCATTATTTTGATTGTAATTTTAAAATCAAAGGGCATTTAAAAAAACCAGACTGGCTGCCGAGTTTATAATCTTACTATTATTGTACATTGCTAATCTTCCAGTCTTACCTTAGAATTTTTCCTTGTATAGATCTTCTTATAACTTACTCCCTTCTCCTCGGCCTGTTTATGAGGGGAAAAAATATTTGTAAAAATTAGTCTGTTTTTTAAACAGTGAACTGGGCAACACTGATGTGCATCATTTGCACCAGTGACCTCCATTCCTTTAAAAAACAAAAACTGGTATCTGCCTGCATGGCTCCCAACCTTCATACCTGGAACTGCAGTACAGAAAACAAGGTGACAAATACCCTCACAGCGAAGAACGGCTAATTAACCACGTTATTGAAGTGCTTGCAGCACAAACAACTCATTTCAGTCTCTAAAATCACAAGCAGGATTACTATTTGCGACAGCTGTGTCATAAATTCCCGCCTCTATACGGGATGTACAAAAGTTTGCATTAAATGGGTAATCTCTGTAAAATGTCTCTCTTCCTGGGAACGATTGGTGTTTGCTGCACAGGTAGGGGGTTTTAGAATTCAGTTTACAGGGTTTAGAAGACCAGTTCTGAAACAAACCCAACTGAGGATATGCAATGGACTATGGGGTTAGACCAGCTGACTTGCTGCGGATTGGTATCTGTGCTCTCAGGTAGAAAAATCTGTCCTAATCTGAACATTATTTTTCTTTTCAAATGGCCTAACAGACTTGGAAATAACCTCGTACCAGTTTCCTGAAAAACAGCCACTATAACAAATTTGTGTACAAATTACTTCTCCCTCAAATAGTTTTCCCCATAAAAACATAACAAAACAATCCCGTGTTGGCGCAGCTACACCAAAGTTACACCATTTGCTAACATAATCAGGAGGAGAGGAAGGGTTTTAAACTGGAAGAGAGTACATTTAGATTAGATATTGGGAGGAAATTGCTCCCTGTGAGGGCGGGGAGGCCCTGGCACAGGTTGCCCAGAGAAGCTGTGGCTGCCCCAGCCCTGGAAGTGTCCAAGGCCAGGTTGGACAGGGCTTGGAGCAACCTGGGCTGGTGGAAGGTGTCCCTGTCCATGGCAGGGGGTGGGACTGGATGACCTTTAAGTTCCCTTCCAACCCAAACCATTCCGTGGTCCTGTGACAATGTAGCTGCCTACACCCCCAGCACCCTCATTAACACAGACACTGGCAGTCACACAGATCTGTTCTCCTTCCCAGGACAGTGGGAATCAAGAGCTCACGGTCCTTTGCAGCACATCTGAAAGCTCAGGTAATTGTCCTCTAACTGCAGAAGCTGAAGCAAGAGCAGAACAAATGAATTGTGTTAAAACCTAAGAGTGTGAACACCACAGGTATAAGCACTTCCATATATTAGTATTAGAGAATTAAAAACATTTTATTGCGGAGCTGGACATCTCCAGCACATACTCCCACCAACACACGTGGACTCCACGGCAGTCAATTATTAATTACAGTGCAACGAGGTCCATTTTTATATCAGAAAGGTCACATGATTGTCTGGACAAGTACAAAAGCAGGAAATGGCTCAATAATACCCTTCCTGTGACAAAATCCACTGCACCCCCCAACACACCCCACGCAAACCTGTCAGACTGCTGCAACTAAACCTGACAATAGAGGCCTCTCAGACAAATTTCAGAGAAATTGTAGTTCTTTAGTCCTCAATCCCAATCCAAGGCTGTGTACAGATGGACTATAAGGAGATATTTTTCTCTCAGACCATTGGCACAATTTGTCTTTTTGGGGTGGTAACACACATTTATCTGTGTCTGAGCTCTGCAGCCACAGCCCTCCAGCAGCAGTTCCAGTGTCCTCCCCAGCCTCACAGGCAGGGCAGAGTGGATCCCACAGAGCCAGCAGAACAGCCAGCACTGAACTTGTGGTACGTTGCCAATAATTTGCTTGTCACTGACTGTTTGTGGCTCCAGCACTAAAGCAAAGGCACTTATGACCCAAACAAATGCCAGGGCAGCATTATCAGATTGCAATAACCTTGGTGTTGGAGATGGTGAGACACATGTGCAGTGTGGACTGGTTTGCTTTGCTTGCCTGCCTTAAGCATACAGACAGAGTCATTTTACTGCAGGGATAGCTTTGTTTTTTTTGTTTTCTTTCCAGTCCAAATGACAAGGTTGATCAGGGGACAGAGGCCCTTACAGATTTCAGATTAACAGAATGAATAAGCAAATGGAACCACAGGGAGAAAACAAAGGTCACAATTAAAGGATCGAGCAGGGAAGAGCAGATGTGCTTAAATGTGTGACAGATCCACAAACAGCCTGTTAGAAACATTTACTTGGCAGCATTTAATTATTAACAGCAAAAAAAGAGAAAAGACAAGGAGGAAGCTGTTTTTCCTTTTCCTGGCTGCAGAAACACCTGCAAACTTTCAAACATTAATGACAGAAAACACATTCAGGACAAGGATTCCCAACAGCTAATTATTGTGCAATACTATCCACAAATTACAAAGGATATAAGTATCACGTATTGCTTGGAAGGAACAAAGAGCTACCATAAATGTTGCTGGAGTCCTTGGATTCAAGTTATCAGGGCTGTTCCCGAGTAACTATCTTGGAGAGAAGTCTTTTGCAAGTCTAACTGCTAGTGATTGCAGAAAGAAGGAAATTCCAACAACAGGGAATTCCCTTTCCTGGTAATACAGTTCCCTAGATGTGATCCATGTCATATCTGTGCTCTGGGTATTCCTGGATGCTCTGACAACCCTACTGGGATTTCCAGTAAGCCAGAAAAGCTTTGAGATGCTCTGGCTTCCTGTAGGAATTGGATAAAATATAGATACATACAAAACTGCAAGGATTGAGATAATACAGTCCAACTGGGAAGCTCCCAGTTTTCTCTCATCACAGGTCTAGGCACCCAGACCTGCTGCATCCCCTTGGCTATTGCTCTCCTGCTCACAGGCCCAGAGAGGCCAAGCAGCATTTTGGCAGGTCCCCTAAATGGGTGTTTGGGTGGTGGGGAACAGTTTGGCAGACCCAATATCCCAGCAGCAATTTTCACTGAAGGACGTGCTCTACAGACATATATATATATGTGTGTGTGTGTGTTTCATAGAGCAGCTCCTGGAGAAAGACCAACATGAAAACAAACCCTTAACAAAATTTTAATTTCATTACAGAGATCTTAAAGCCCTGAAGGAAAAGGCCGCAAGTGCTGGGTTTGGAGGACTCGCGGCCCCCCCAGGGGCCCGGCCAGAAGGACCGGTGGGAGCTCTGGGTGAGCACGCCCAGCCACCAGGGGACCCTCCCCGCCTCACCCCCAGCTTTTCCCGCATCCCAGGGAGCGGAACAGGACCCGCACTGGAGGCACTGGAAGGCACTCACAGGCCATTTAACCCGCACACAGCCCCGCACCCCGGGGCGCTGCCCAGAGCCGCCGCGGACACCCCCACCCCCCCGGGGGGCTCCGGAGCCCACGCACAGACACGGCCTCCCCCGCGGCTCCCGCCCGGCCTCGCACGGGCACGGCGGACGACCCGCGGCCCGGGCCCGGAGAGGGCCGGTTCGAGGCCGCCCCCCTCCGGGGTCCAGCCCGGCCGCTCGCGGGGAGACGCGGCCGCCCGGCCCTGAAGCCCATCCGTCCCCGGCCGCCCCCCGAGCCGCGCCCTCACGGCCCTCACGGCCCTCACCGCCCGCTCCGCCGCGCCGTGTCCGCCGGGACGGGGGCGCGCGCGGCCCCCGCGCCTGCGCGGAGGGGGCGGCACCGGCGGCGCGCCTGGCGCGCGCACGCGGTCCCCGGCCCTGAGGGCGAGCGGGGCTGTGAGGAATGACGGGGGCTGTGAGGAATGACGGGGGCTGTGAGGGGCCATGGGGGTTGTGAGGAATGACGGGGGCTGTGAGGGGCCATGGGGGCTGTGAGGAATGACGGGGGCTGTGAGGGGCCATGGGGGGTGTGAAGGACTGTGAGGGGCCATGGGGGAGAGGGGGTGAGGGACTGTGAGGGACCACGGGGGCTGTGAAAGGTTGTGAGGGGTTTTGGATGGGGGGCTGTGAGGGGTGATGGGGACTGTGAGGGGTGACAGGGACTGTGAGGGGTGACAGGGGGCTGTGAGGGGCTGTGAGGGGTGACAGGGGGCTGTGAGGGGTAATGGGGGGCTGTGAGAGGTGGCTGTGAGCTTTGAGGGATCAGGCTATGAGAGGTGACAGTGAAGGACTGTGAGGCGTCGGGGATGCAGGGCAATGATGAGAGGCTGTGAGAGGTGATGGGCACTGTGAGGGGTGGTGGGTGGTGGTGAGGGGCAGTGTGGGCAGACAGGGTGGTGGGAGCAGTGTTGTGATAAGAGTATAGAAATTTGGCAGAAAAGAAACACCCTTGTGGTTCAGCTGGTCTTTGGAGATCAGAGGGGCTGGGGGTGGCTGGGCTTAATCTCTGATTGTAACCAATTTGGAACTGTAAGTGGTTGTGTTTGATAGGAACTTCCATGAACACAGGTTCTCAAACAGGGCGGGTTCAACACTGGGAGTCTTGTAATGTTCTATCAGAACCTTCACCACCACAAATTCATGACTAGTGTGGTTTATTGGAGCAGCAGAAATACAAGGGAGAATGGCTTCAAACTGAAAGACAGTAGGTCTTTACATTAGATATTAGAAAGAAATTCTTTACTCAGAGGGTGTGAGGCCCTGGCACAGGTTGCCCAGAGAAGCTGTGGCTGCCCCATCCCTGAAGTGTCCATGGCCAGGTTGGACAGGGCTTGGAGCAACCTGGGAGAGTGGAAGGTGTCCCTGCCCATGGCAGGGGGTGGGACTAGGTGAGCTTTAAGGTCCCTTCCAACCCAACCCATTAATGAAATACAGATTTGGATTTTTGTTTTGTTTTGTTTTGGATAATTGCCCTGGATAAATGCAGTAGCTGTGATAGAGCTCTAATAATAATAATAGTATAATGTTAGTCCAAGTAATAATAATCTTATGGAGAAACTTAGCAAGGAGGAGGG